ACTAGAATTGAATTTACGCGCGCAAGCGCGCCCCTTGACTATAGAGTTTGCATATATTTTCATGCTTATGATATATTCGACCAATCACGTTACGAATAGTTTGATGCCACATATATTTCATCTCAATTTTATATTAGGACTAGAATTTAATTTTCGCGCGCCTCATATTTATTGTCATGATATATTTATGTGTCGTTTATGTATATTATATTCACTTTCATCTAATCAGAATGAGAATAAATATTTTCAACCAATCACATCACGAATAGATTGGCTTCACATACATTTCATCTCAATTTTATTATGGGATTTTTCATATATATACTAATAAATGGAGAGCCAGTTTTTTTGTCCGGTTATACTGCAAAAACTACTGAACCGATCGGAATAATACTTATACCATAAGATGCAGCGTGTTTCGGAGAAGGTTTTAATATATGATATCTTGGTGATTACTTATCCGGAACCTATATTTTTTTTATTTAAAAATAATGAATTTTTATTGTAACTAAATTTATTCTATTCGATTGTCATTTGTTTAAAATAAATTTTTTAATTCTATTGGTTATGTTTATATGCTAGGCAAATTTCTTCACTTATAAGACCTACAATTTCTTTAACTGAAACTTTCAATGCTCATTACAAATTTTTTTTTTTCATATCAATTATTATTCATTTTTGTAAAAAAGACACCGGAATGTTACATTGATTGCACATTGAAAGTTACAATTAATATTAGCTAGAATAATTACATGGATAAAAGGTGCATGCCAATTCGATAGAATTGGAAATTTGTGCAAATCAAAACATTAATTAAATTTCAAGTCTAGATCTAAAAATGCAATTCTATAAAGCTCTGAGCGGAGCGGGCGAGGAACAGCTAGTATAATATATATAAATATATGAAAAATTGATGTGGGTACTTAAATGAAAGGTCTTGATGAACGTAACATACGGATGAGCTTATATCTTTAAAAATGTCAATAGTTCACAAGATACAAGATCATTTCTTAATTATGTATCTAAGATATAGAGCATTTTCGAATGCAGCCTAAATACTTATCATCATAAATTGACTATTGGTGAGAATGATATAAAACCATGAAAAGGCACAACTCCAGGTCAAGACTTTTCCAACGATACCAAATTTAACCATAAAAACCCATTTTATCATATAAATACACTGGCCACAAAATTTTGCTTATTCTCTTAATAATATAGATTACATTCAATGAAAGGTTAATTTCAATCAAAAGAAAAAAATGATTATTTTCATGTTATAACTTAATCAAAAACTGCATAAGAAGCGAACAATTAAATCGAGTAATTTTTGGCCTTAAAAATTATGTCGAGCCAAAATAATTCACAGTAAATCAAGATAACCTTTTGTTAATTAGCATTCTTGGTAAAAAAATAATTAAACATGCAATAGAGAAGTTGAGTAGATAAATTTATCAATCTCAATAAAAAAAGTACTTTACATTAGCATAATTACTTTTTTAAGGAATTGTAAGAGACGTGTGCATCAAAGATAGTACGGGAAATATAAATAAGACAGAGACAGGGAATCAAGGTCAGGTGAGTTGATATCTTGGGTTGCATGCGGGTCGAAAGCGAAGAGATCGGATGTCCCTGAGGTGGTGAGTTCGACTTAACTATGTGCAAATGTCACACTTTATTGTGGTTATAGTCTGCGAGATGAGCCAAGATGGAAAAAAATATAATTATGTATATATGTATATGGGAGGATATTATCGTGACTTAGATGCATATCGCTCACCATCCCTTTATTAAATTTTTAACGGTATTTACATGTAATTAATCGCTTTTTCAAGCTAATATTTAATTAAAATATGCAAGATTTTTTTCTCTAAAAGATTGATTGAGTGATAATGCTCCTAAATGACCGCAATTAGGAACAAGTCGGCACTGTTTATTGGTAAATTAGATTTTTTGTAATTAAAATTTTTGGTTAAAAAATTTTATTTTATTTTTATTGTAATATTTTGATCGTATCTGATGTGCAGAAATAATGTATTTAGATCGTTGCAATTATAGAAGTGAGTCAACTCTTTTTTGTAATGTAATGAACTCATTCTCAGAAAAAAGTGATGGGATTTGTTGAGACACTGACGTATAAATCCGGTTATTCTTTTTCGTAACGACGTCTACGTCATTATCTACGTTTTCAAATAATTATACTCGAAAAATGCGTTGCAATTTGTCAATAAAAAAATTTATCTAATAAATGTCACCGTGAAATGCGGGAATCAAATTATTTTGCATCTTATTTAAATCTGACTACAATTAAAAATTTTTGTAAGTAGCTCTAGACTATGCAGGTATAAATATTTTTATAGGATGATTACTGGATAATAAAGTCCACGATAACTTAATTTCGCTTTGTTTGTTTGTTGATTGTAAAAAAATTTTATATTTCTTTTCTTGGAAGCAAAAATTTACAATATTTAAAGCTTTAAAAATTTTATCTAATGTAATAAAAATTGAACTATCAAATAAAATGTCAATATAAAATTCACTTTTTTTCCTCTAACAAATTTTATTGTACTTTGTCTGCTGATAAATTCACAGTTACTTATTTTTATATTTCACACACAAACGTCCATCGTAATTTACAGCAACAGCATCTCTGACAGTTTTAAATTAAATTCGAGCAACTTATATCTTTACTCATACAAATATAATGCACAATTGTAATTGAAAGCTGAAAAAAACAGTTAGTCTTCCATCTATATCAGTGTCACGGATTTTGCTCGTTCACCACGCATGATTTACGGGGTATGCAGCCAAGTGACTGCTGGTAACTCGTGAACAAGTTTTGTACTCAATTTTATTTATTATTTTTTTATAACACAAGCTCCATGCCAATTTGTTTTTTCTACAACCAAGGTCTTTGTTTAACACCCCATTTTACCTTTCATTGCTTGTAGATACAAATGTTAAATTAACATTTACATTTAATTAGATCACTCAATACCATCTCTCAATTTATGACATTAATAAAACTTTATTGCTGTCATCTTGATAATCTAAAATGACTGATCTGGTTGTTTGCAGGATAAAATGCAATAATTAACTGGCAACCTGTCGTTACTAAATAACGGTCGAGGATTACAAACCATTAACAAAAGATCTTTGGTTCAGTGATTTTCAATGATTTATAATTGAAAACAAGATTGCTATCACCAAATCCATTATGGAAAATTTATTCAAAACTATGACGAAATAAGTAATTTATAAAAATAACAACTTTTTTAAAACTGCTCCAAAAATTTAACAAAAAAAAAAATTTACCTTTTTAAGTCATATCTTTTTTAATAAAAATTTCCTTTATCATAATTTAATTGAATTTAAAAATGCTTGCTTCACTCATTTTTCCCAATATGATAATTAATAATTGCAATGTTTTATTTTGATCTCATTTAAAATTTAGAATATTATTTTCTATGTTGAATTATGTCTTTAAATTACTTCTTTGTATTGAATGATATATCTCTATTTTGTTAAAGTTTAAAATTAAATTTAATTGTAAACCTTTAATTAATTCAGTACTTTTGTACTCAGTTATATTATATACAAATGCAAACCGATGTAAACCAATGTATTAAATACTGATGGCTCTGAGGGAGCTTAGGTTCCGGAGTCAAATGAAATTTTTTTATCTATCTATTTTCTTCATTATATAGATGATTATTGATAACTAGCAACTTTGCAGTTACTATGTGACTGCCGTGACTTATGAACTATAAATAAACAAAAATTTTGCTTTGTTAAATAATAACTTTTGTTAAAATGCACTGTACTTTCTTAAATATTGACGTATTTAAAGATATAACCTCATCCCGATGTTACACTCATCAAGAGTTTTCATTTGAGTACCCACATGCATTTTGATATATTTTTCATATATATAAATATATGAAATATATGAAAAATTGATGTAAGTACTCAAATGAAAGGTCTTGATGAGTGTAACATCGGGATGAGCTTATATCTTAAAAAATGTCAATAGTTCACAAGATACAAGGTAATTTCTTAATTAATTTAAATTGCACTGTAAGTTCTTAAATATTGACGTTTTTAAAGATAAAAGCTCATCCCGATGTTACACTCATTAGGAGCTTTCATTTGAGTACCCACATGCATTTTGATATATTTTTCATATATACATATATATATATATATATATATATATATGAAAAATTGATGTGGGTATTCAAATGAAAGGTCTTGATGAGTGTAACATCAGGATGAGCTTATATCTTTAAAAATGTCAATAATTCACAAGATACAAGGTCATTTCTTAATTATGTATCTAGAGATAGAGTATTTTCGAATGCAGCCTATATACTTTCCTACCAATTATCCTGTTACGTGAATGTTGGAACGCTTCACGTAATAATTATCCGTAACTCCTATTCTTTCCCGCTTCACAGCATTATTTATATTTGTTAATAAATATTTATATTTGTATTTATAGTTATTTATATTTGTTATAAACAAATTATATTTATTTTGAACAAGAATTATTAAATTCAAGTGAAACCCTTTCTCCCTTTGATTTTTTCTAAAGTATTGCTACTAGAGATAAGAACTTACTCCCCGGGAGAAGAATTATAAGCATCGTTTTCGAACAATCGATGATTATAATTGATAGACCATAGAAACTATATCATATTAAATTGTCTATTGGTGAGAATGACATGAAACCTTGAAAAGGCACAAATTCAAATCAAGACCTTTGCAATGACACCAAATTTCACTAAAAACAAAACGATTTTATCATATGACTACCCTAGACACAAAATTTTTCTTACTCTCTTAATATTATAGATAACTTAATTAAAAAAAATCTTAATTTATGTTTTCAGGTACTGCTCGATGCAGCATTCGTATGGAAGCAGGTAAACGCAGCACCAGTAAAACGCAACGACGTTTCAGCGGGAACTGAATTTTTAAGTGTATTCATAAACGGTGCAATGGCACCAACACCACGGCGTCGAGGTTTCAGACGCAACCAGCACTCGATACAGGACAATGCAGTAGCTGAATCCCAACACAGCGAGGCATCAATTTACCGGATATCACGTGCGCCCTCCAGTCCAAGGCCAACGACATCGCGACCGAGTCTCCGGGAAATCGGCGCGAAACTCTACCCAGTTAGCCACAAGTCTTTGGAGCCGCACAATCGAGAGCACACGCATGTGTCTGACGATTTGGGAACGGAAGACATAGTCCGTTTGAAACCTCTGATGTCGGTAACGCATCATCCTTTAAGCGACAAACGGATCAACGGAAATACAACCAAGCCTAAAAGCGTCAGCAGAAAAGTTATCGGGGTTAGTGTCACGTCCACAGTCGAGGCGACGCCCTACAAAGTAAGAGTCGAGCACTACGACAACGAGCAGCTGACAATGATAACAAGGCCGCCAATTAGCGGGTCCTCTTTCGCCGCAAGTAGCAATTTAGCAGCGACCGGTATTGGAACCGGTACCGCTAAATCAGGCTCAATGATCACCACCGAAACTTCAACCTGGACCACATCAACTATCCCGACGCCCGTAAAAACGTCAACTGTTAAGACGTCGACCCCGATTCCTGCTAAATTAGTCACCGAGGAGCTCACTAATATTGTATCGGAGTCAAACCGCAGCGAGTTTTCAGTGGACGAAGGCCTTCCGCGAACCAGTTGGCGAGCAAGGTCATCAGTGACACCAGAGTCGACGATCACACACTCAGTGCCATTTTCAACCTCGTCAAGCTTCCCGAAATCGCAAGAGCACAAGGATTCTCTAGAGATGGCCACTGGCTCAGAGCCTGTCGAGCAAAGTTATGAGCTGCCCGACGAAAACTCGGAAATCCACGAGGTCCAAGATGTTGTCCACCTGCAGGCTCGCAAAGCAGGCAGGCACTACGACAGCCCTTTGTTCAATCAGCCGCCCAAAGTCTATCCCCAACCTTCAAAAATTTACGGAAAACCCTCGCGGATTTACGGAGAACCTTCCAAAGTCTACAGTGAGCCGGCAAAAGTCTACGGCGAGCCCGAAAAAGTCTACAGTGAGCCTTCGAAAATTTACAGTGAGCCGTCAAAAATTTACAGTGAGCCTTCGAAAATTTACAGTGAGCCCTCGAAAATTTACAGTGAGCCTGCGAAAGTTTACGCAGAGCCTGAAAAAGTCTACGGAGAGCCTGCGAAAATTTACTCCAAGCCGGCTAGGGTTTACAGCGAGCCCGCTAAGGTTTACAGTGAGCCCGCTAAGGTCTACAGCGAGCCTAGCAAAATTTACGGGCTAGACGGGCAGCCGATCAACCACGAGCCCGAAGAAGAGAACTACGAGGTGGATGAGGCCGTGAGTGTTGGCAGCAATGGGAATGTTCACGGTCCCCAAGTGGTCACAGAAGCGCCAAACTCGAGCGCAATCGACACTTCCGAAGACGGGCACAACAAAGTTGGGTACGTGGTCGAGGGAAGAAATTATCGCAAGTATCGCGTCGAGGAGCGTACGCCCGACGGATTTATCGTCGGCGAATACGGTGTTGTTAGTCATGATGATGGTTCTTTACGGGGTGTTCGTTACACTGCTGATGGCACCATAAATCCTCGGCTAATTTACGACGCGTTGATGAAATTTCTTGCTCTTTAATTAAAAGAAACTTTAATAATCGCATTACACAAAAAAAAAGGCTCTTGAATGAGAAATTTCTTTAAAAAATCTTTTTTATACACTGAAAAAAAAATTTTTGTCCAAGAAATAATTTCTTAGCTTAAGAATCGTTTAAAATAAAATTTGGTTTTTTGACAAAAGAATATCAATATCCATCATGATAATAAAATTTTGGCATTAATTTTGATAGATTAACAAACGAATTGGTTCACTTGAATTAAACAAAAAATAATTCGATCAATATATATTCTTGTGACAATAAAATTTTCTCAAGAGTAGTAATTTTTTTTCTCAGTATAAAAAATTAGTTTGTTAAAAATTTTGTCAGTCATTAATTATTTAAAAATTTATTTTTATTGCGAAATATTTTGATCAAGCCAGCTTTTTTCTCTGTACAGCGTTTTATAGGGTAATAATATGATAAAGGGAAGTTTAAATGCCGTTTTCATATAGGCAATAACGAACACGACTGATTATTATTTTCTTCGCTCTTGCCAACTCAACTGCCTCAACTTGTAATATTAAATAATTATAAATATATAAATATAGATTGTAAGATTTTTTTCCCTCTCACCCTTGACAATATGACCTTTTTCATTTTAACAGTAACATGTCTCAATTGCTAGTTTACTTTTATTTTTTTTTATAATTCGTGTTATATTAAAAGGAATCGATCATTAATGATTCTTATGAATAATAAAGTAAAGTTAAAGGAGAAAAAATTCATTAATAACGGTCAATTTTCCTACCTACGATTTCATTATTATAGAGAAACATGAGATTAAGTTTTCTCGATAATGCCAGATTGAAGGCGTCCTTCTTATTATGCTTTAATATAGTGAGAAATGATGTTCGGTCTACCCTTTCGCACGGTAGATCAGAGTTACGTCGTGACTAGCCCACGGTTTATATCCTCCTACTATATATGTATAGATTATTAAGTTTCGATACTGTGGGATTATTAATAATTGATCGACGCTGATGATCACCGACAAGATGCATACAAGTCAAGAGTGTGTGCGTCTTGTTTTTTGTAGAAACGCTTCTGTGACGAAGAGGTTTATAAATAATAATAAAATAAAACAAAAATAATAATTAGCCAACTTGTCGCGGCAGCGTTTCCGCTTTTTTGTAATTTTTAAAAAACCCTAGTCAAAAGTCTCAAGTGAGAAATTTTGTGGGGTTCGTAATTGTTATTTTATTTTAAACAATTAATTAGTAATTACTTTATTTCAGACTCCTCTCATTACCTCAATTATTGAGATAGTTTTTCTTGCCTTTTATTTAGCAATAGTTGTGATTCTGGTGAAACTTTAAATGATTGAAAATAATAAATTTTACTAAATTATTATTTTAAAAATTTTTTTATAAAATTTTGTATGTGAATGTTCAAGTGGTGCTTGAGATGCAATCGGCAATTGCCATTGATATTTATATTTAACATTGATATGATGAATGTAATTTAATTTATATTTAATATAATATATATTTAGATTTTTTAAACTGTTGGGAGTAAGTGTAAGAACGATAATGTGCTGTTGTGAAATTTAAAATGTGATTAGATGGTAAAATTTCGCAATACAAGTGTTCTTAAAAGTATTTATTTTATTGAAGAAGAAAATTTAACATTAATTTAATTCTTTTAATAAATTTAAATTAATTCATTGAGTTATTATTATGGTTTACGAAAATTTTTAACTGTAATTATTTTAAATATTTATGAGATGAATAGTTTTAAAAATACTTGTATCTACGATGTACGTATTTAGCCATTGGCGACTGATACTCGATTGTAACTTTGTATAAATAATCTGTAATTGAAGACAGTCGAGAATGCTCAAGCGTAATTTTATTTGATTTTTTTAAATATTGTAATTAAACTTAATCATGTAATTACAAATAATTATTTGGATATTTCAACAATTAAACCCTTTTTTTAAATAAATTGTCATCGTTATCTTGGCTTAAGCTGTATAATTATTTTAAATCATTTTTAGAGTCATACTTTTTGTAATTTTAGTTATTAAAACTATCAAAAAATGAGTAGTTTTAATTGATATTGATGGAAAAAATGTGCCACTATTGAAAAAATTGTAATAAATTCATCATTTGTAAAAAATTGTTTGTTTTGGTTTTATTATTTCTTTTTTTTTTTTTTTAAACATTTCACAATAATTTTTATCTATAACTTAAAAAAAACAGTAATAAAAGTATTTCGTAATTTCGACTTCTTAAAAAATTTAATAATTTATTTTTTATTATTTCAAGAAAACTTTATATTTTCTCAAGTGAAAAAATTTTAGAAACCTTGAAAAATTATATGCCAATAAGGAAAAAATTGGGAAAACAGAAGCTTATAAAACGCGGAAAATTATCAGCTATTCAAAATTTTCTATTAAAGGTCAAAATGTGGGGGCTTTTTATAACTTTGGTAATAATAGGAGGAGCTTCTTCCACCAAGCCAAAATGTGGGAAGTGTCCTACTATAACTCCTGAAGACATTGACGTAGCTAGAGTAAGTATTGTTCTCGAAAATATTTTTATTTCATGGTAAATTTTGTCGCAATAAAATGAAATTTTACGGCGATCGATTTATATAATTTCTCTAGATGGTTGGCGATTGGGAGGAATAGGAACGTAGTACCAATACTAAGGATGAGACTGAGAGTTGCGGAAAACTGTCCTTTTCCGCGCCCGACGCAAACGGTGATGTAAAATTGATTTTTTCCGCGACTTCTTCAATGTAATTTAAAAACATTTTTACTATCTTTATGTCACTTTTTTCTGTATAATTTTATTTGATTCTATTTTGTGACCCAGAGTAGGAGGTAATTCCTTACTAGGTGGCATAGCGAGATTTGATCAAAATAAAGTAACCGTCGATCTTCATTGCCGGTTTTGGGAATTATCACAAATATGACCTACTACGTGCTCGAGACCGATTATGACAATTATAATATTGTGTGGAGTTGTCAACAACTTGGAAAGAGATAGTAAGTTCAAAGATGAAAAAATATTTATATTAATTAAGCATGGTCAAGCTTAAGTATTAATATTATTAAGGTCCCAAATCTGATTAATATTTGTTTTCAGCGTACCTACGGTTTATGTTAAAATTCAAAAATCAGCTTCGGTAGATGGTCTTAATGCGAAAGTTAAAAATGCACTCAACAAACGTGGTTTTCCGATGGTAGAGCTGACCAAAGAAAATCGAGCTGGTTGCGGTGATTGTTCCAGCGACGATTAAAAATTATATTAATTACTGTACTGGCGATATGTGCAAGCTTAAAATAAATTTGAAATAAATAAATGTCTCGAGAATTTTTATCCGATGGCCTTCTTAATTTTAAGCATTAAATTAACTAGATTTTGAGAACAAATTTATAATATAAAGACATATTTACTAATAAAGCTCAAGTCAGTTTTGTAGATGTAAATATCAAGATGAAAAAAGATTTCAAATGATTTAATTTTAAGAATAATTAATTTGAAAAATTTTATTTTATGTAAATTACGATAATATTAAAATAATAGTGTTGACTAAAAATAATTTCTAAGGGGAAATTTTTTTATACGAAATCGGAAATTAAATTTCAAAAAGAACTAGCAGCCACTCTCAAGTTGTTTATAAATTATTTGATTAAAAAAATATAAAATTCTATCAAATATGATCTTTAATTAAAACCCCGGTATTTTTCATAATTTTTCAGGTTATACCAAGAATTATATATTTTTATTAATTTTTAACAGATATACTATTTTATTGTGAGTAAATAAATGTTTTTTCATTATTTCAATGTAAGTAATTTATTTCAATTAAATATATATAAAAATAAAAGTATAATTTTCAATAATTCGATTAGAACTTGTTAGGAAATCCGATTTTTTAAGCTAGAAAAATGGTTTTTATTTTTTTTCAATTATGGTGTACCGTTTTAAAAATTTAGATATTTTTAGATATGATGTAGACATTTTCAATAGGAATTTTTACTTTGCTTGTCCCCCTATAGCCTTTCTAAGAGTTTCCAAAGGAAAATAATTTTTTTGGCATTGATATGCATGTAATGTTTCGTAATCCGAGAGTCAGCCGTTAAATTGAAGAAATATTGAAACAAATGTCGATAAGAAATGAAAATAAAACTTAAATGCAAAATATTACAATAGCCATAATACAATATTGATATTATTTTCATTTTGGAAATACGGGTATTGATCAAGAATTTTTTCAATTGTTAGGCAATTTATTTACACATGAATAAACACCAAAAAAATATGTATTATTAGATCATTTATTAAAGCTGGTATCCCACAGAAACTGAGTATAAAAAGGCTCCGATAGGTAGTATTAAATCACTTGACAAGAATTTCTTGCTAAGAAGTCACTCAAAGACTATACAAAATGTTGTACTATTTGGTAGCTTTCTGTGCCATTGCTGGAGCTTATGCTCAAACCATGCCAAATGGTTCTTGTCCGACGTTCAAAGCCAACAGTGTCAACGCTAAACTAGTAAGTTTTTCGTTTTCTAGTTGTTAATTTATTTACTATAATTAATAAGTTCCATTAAAAATAGTTTATTGCAAGTAAATTTTATTCTCAAAAATGATTTGTTTCTTTAGATGGTTGGAAAATGGTACGATTGGGGACGTAGCAGCAATAATGCCTTGAACGGACAAAGATGTGGATACGAAAACTGGAACCAACCCTCAAACGGTGTATCAAAATTAGTCCAATCTGCCTACTCTCCATTGTATGAAGACTGCTTTATATAATTTATTATTCATACACTGATAAAAAAATTAACTTGACTCAAGAGCCAAAATCTTGAACCAAGAATACCACTTTTAAGAAAATCATTTTCTTCAAAATGATATTCTTGGTTCAAGATTTTGATATGCTACCGGCTTGAATATAAGTTGGCATATCCACCAGAGTACCCGTGCTGGAGAAATATCTGCTTCGGCGATAGCCCAAATGGGTTATAGAAAAGTAACTTGTCTTTTTTACTATTATCTATTCAAAAAAAAATTATTTTCTTTCTTGTTATAACACAAAAAAAAAGATACAGGATTTTTTTATCATTGAATCGTTTGATCGATCATTTTTTTATCGGAATAACCTGTGAAAAACTTTCTGATGTTACAAACGAGGGATTGTGACGTTAATTATATTTATTTAAATCAATAAATTTAATTAGTTCATCACACGAGGTTATTATCATCAAACGTAAAGATCTCAAATTCCTACACTGATAAAAAAATTAACTTGACTCAAGAGCCAAAATCTTGAACCAAGAATACCATTTTGAAGAAAATGAAAAGTCAAGAGAATAAATTTTTGAGACATTGAACTTCATTTTGTAAATTCTTCCATTTGTGTGAAAAAACAAGTAGTTCAAAATTTATTATCACTTTAAAAAACAGTTTAATATCTTCTAGAAGTATAATATTTTGGTTTGGATCATTAAAATAATTTATAATTATTTATTATACTATTACCGCATCAGAATGTTAAAAAATCACCTTCTAAAAAATGAGGAAGACCAATCACTAATTAGACCGTCGATTTCTTGACTCAAGAATTTATTCTTTTGACTTAAGAAAATCATTTTCTTCAAAATGATATTCTTGGTTCAAGATTTTGGCTCTTGAGTCAAGTTAATTTTTTTATCAGTGTACATATTCATTCAAAGATTTTACTATCAAACTAACAAACATTTTATGGTTTAGCATTGGTGGTTATTCACGAATTGTGTCTGACATTAAATTCTACAATGGCAACCAATACACCATTGGATTTGAAGTACCAAATGTTGGAACCATCTCAGTAAACCACGCCATCCTCGACACCGACTACAATAGATACGTCATCTACTACCAATGTCTCAACCTAGGATCCACCTAGTAAGTACACGGCCAAAAAAAAAAAAATCAGTTATTTTTCCATGCTAATTACTAATATTTGGCAAATAATTTTTTTTTTATTAGCTCCATCTCCCTTTGGATCAAGACCAGAGACCAATACCCAGGATCTAAAGTAGAAAACCAAGTCTATAATGCATTGAACAAATTCGGTCTCTCGTACGTACCATTGATTCATACCAGTCAACAAAACTGCTAATCGAATGATTATTTCTAATAATTATATCTTTGAAATTTCGCCCAGTGCCAAATAAATAATAAAATTAACAAAAAATAATAATTGACAGTTATACATTTCATTTATCATTTTCAAACCTTTAGTTTTAAGGATAAACATAGATAATAAATTAAGATCGAATTTAATAATCTAGTTAAATGAGTTTATGTAATTTTTTTAGAATCTAATAATCGATTTCGTATCCAAAAACCTCTTTTGAAGTTATTGTTGGAATGTTTTTTTTTTTTTGGACGAGTAGAATTGTCTAATTTTTGAGGGGTATGAGTTCTGCAAAGCAAAACAATGTTTTTTATTATTGATATTCACACGAAGATAAAAAATTGGTATTTTTTCCATAAGTTGACATAAAAATATATCAAAAAATACATGTATGAAAATATAAAAATAAGATATTCAATTCTTTCGAAGAATTAAAAAAAAAAATTATGTGTGGCTTAAGAAAAAAAATTTTTTCCGTATTAAATTAAAGCTATTTTAGTATTATAGCCATGCATACAAATAATATTAGTAATTCATTTTATCATTGCTCTTATTATAATTATTGTATTTCATCAATTATGATCGCACCGTTATTACCATTGTTGTCATTATTTAGACTATGCCATTATTTAATCTAAAAATTAGTTAATCAGTTTACAAAAATTATATAACAATTATATAAAAATTAATAATGTTTACTAGATTTATTCTTTACGTCGCTGTATGGAGGGTAAAGGTAAGGAGAACCGTCTCATATGGGGGAAAGTTGAAAAAGTGTCCAGCTGTATACTGAGAATAAAGTTTCCATTACCTACCAGAATAGCGCTGGCGTTCGAGTAGTTTCAATATGAACATAGCTGTTATAAATGGAGTGAAGTTTGCTCAGTTTAAATATTAAAAAATTTTAATGACTCGAGTAGTTAGTAAAATGCTAATATACAAAACCTCAACTATTTACGTAGTCCAAAAAATGTTTTAGTAAATATAAACAAAACACTGCAGAGAAAAAGCGTAATTTTATTAATGTGAATTTTTTAAAATAATTATCAGTGATTTTATCGTGGTGATAGTAATTAAACGATATAAAATAATGGGAAAAAGTTGTATTGTGAAAAGTTGTCCTAGTGGACGCAAACTAAAAACTACAAAAAATGATCCGTCTCAGCATCTGTCTTTTTTCCAACCTTCTGTACGTTGAGTAATTTACTTTGAATTATTTATTTATTTTACGACACCCTGATTAAAAAATCAAATTTAAAACAATTCAATCTATGCAAAGTGTATATTTATATAGTATTTAACTCGAAAAATTTTTTATTATTTCAAATTGTTTTTTAATCATTTCAAATGAGATTTATTAATCAGGGTTTAACGCTTCTTTAATGTTCAATCAACACATTTATATTTTAGTATTATATAAATTTATATTCACAGACACCGGCAAGATTAGACAAGTGGCAAAAGTGTTTGGGTATTAAATTAAAAGCCACTAATAATATTTGCCATCTTCATTTTAAAGAAGAACATATAAAATTGTACGATAAGTTTATCATTAATGGAGAGGTCAAGATTTTTCAAACAGTGAAAAAAAAGCTAAAACCTGAAGCTTTGCCAACAATCGAGCATCAATTTATTCCTATACCATTATATGAGCTCCAAGCAAGTATTATTAATCAACGACAAAAATCAACTTCATGCCACAATTACTGTGAAGACGATCAGCAGGATCGTATGCAAAACAGCTGCATTGAGCAACAGGAATTATTAGATGATCTAAATATTTCTAATAATGCTACAAATTACAGTCAACAAATAGAACAGGACTTGGAAAAGTCTCTGTTGAGTCAGCAGTCATATGACAGTTTAAATAGTCACGTAGAAAACGAAACAACTGTAAAACCAATAGAGAGTATAGGAGATATCCAGAAATGCCCAATGTTACCGCAGTTTTGGATGCGTGTAGATAAACCAGACGGACTAGAATTTTTGCGAATGGATCCATCAGCCAAGAAAACGAAAAATCATATACGTCTAAATGAGGATTTATCATTAACCGTAAGTATTTATTAATTAATGTATGGAGAAAGTAATTAATTTTATTGGTCACAAAAATCATTAATAGCAACTTTATTGCAGGTTATTTTTTCTAATGGTGAAGAATTGTCTCTTGACGTTAAAATTAATTCTTTCAAAAATATTTGCGAGTTCTTAAAATCTGTGGAAAGATGGCCATTATGCGTTGGTACTCAAATAGACAGTAATAAGTAAGAATATTTTTTACATATTAAACCAAGGAGCTATAAAAAGTCTTACTCATTTATAATACACTTCAAAAATTACATCAATTTTCAGGTACTCACAAGTGTGTAAAGGTGTAATTATAAGTGACGATGCTTACCAAAGAAATCAAAGAAATCCAAGATGTAAATCATGTCGAATTTTACGGAAACGCTTACAAAGCCGTAAATCTACTTCAATTGTTTTAGAGAAAAGTACTGCTCTAAAACGGCGGGCTTCAAGCCTTAAAAAACAAAACAAACGTCTGAAGAGAATGGTAAGTTGAAAAAAAAAAACAATATTTTCTGTTGACTTCGAACATTATTTCAAATTTTACAGTAATTATCTATACAAACTTCACTGACAATGGCGATTTTTTTTTGGCATGTTGAAATTTCTGTAATTTTTATTTTATTGAAAGCGTGTAAGCTCTATGACAATTGTGAGAATTTTTCAGGATAATAAGGTATTGCGGATGGACACATTTTTTCAAAAATTATATTAATCACTTTTACTCGGCAAATTTTTGTTTTTACCTTGTGAACAACTTTCTTTACATATTCTAAACAACTTTTAGCTCGTCTTTACTATGGATGGTTACACTATAAGATCTTCAGTCATTTTAACGTAAAACAATTACACAGGGTGAAGGCCATACAAAAGTACACTTGGTCTCAAAAAATTCTAGGACATTGAAAAAAGTCTAAAATTTTCAAGGACTCTTTATCTGTGAAGGGTTCTTGTTTGAATTTTTAAATATCAAATTAATGACATTATTATGGAAAGATATGTTTTAAAGCTTGAAGTTAGATTCAGATAGAGATGTTATCACGATGAATTTTTTGTGACTAGTGTAGCAAATATCATCGCCAAGAACGTTGTCAATTTTAATTTTGAAATTACACAATATAATTTGTTTCTTGTACAGGAAAAGTGTTCTAACGAAATCTTGCCACAACTATACAGTGAATGAAGAGTAAATTCTTGCGAGGACAGATACCTTCATTTATAATAATCTTTAGTACCAAATTTGGTATAAAAATATTATAAGTAGATAGTCACCCATTGAGGAGTACCGTGACATAAACGTATTTTATAAGTGTAAATTAACTTACAGAATAGTAATGTAAGTCTCAATTGTGACACTTGTCCATTGGAATCATCTCATACACTATTGGTATTTTTTAATTTTTACTATACTTTAGAACGAATTTGTCCATAAATATTCTAAATATTTTCTTGAAAGTAATGATCATGTACATATCAATTGTAAATTAATTCTCCTGGTAAAATATTCATAATGTTTATATTTGTAAAGTATTTTTTTTACAATTGTAAATTTTGTGCATAAAAATTGTACATTTATTCTGTTATTATAATATTAAAGATTTGTACATTGCTCATTGTTGATTCGTTGAAATGATAAATTATTTAGGTTCAGAAAATCATAAGAATGCACACCAGAATATGAAGTTTGTACCGTCATGCGGAGGAAACGACCACCCTGATCCAAAAATGTTTGCCCAAGTCTATCGTTTGGCTTCTTGTTTTTCTCTCGTACGTCCTCCAAAAGGATCTAATGTTTCAGGGAAAGACCTGATAAAAAGTTTAATAGGAGCTAAAGAAATTTTAACTTCTTCTAATAAAGACAAGGAAATATGGCTTCAAAATATTGATAATATGCTTGAAAGTGCTGAACCATTATTGGATGGTTCTTCAACCGATGAAGACCATGATTACAATGAGGCTGTAACCAGCAATGCCGTTCAATCATACATTGCTGGTTACATAGTTCGCGAATTGCGAAAGACTACGAAATGCGTGAATTGCTTACAAGCTATACAAATGTGTGCGGGAGATGGTAAGAAATTACAAAGAAATGATGTCATAAATAAAATGGATTTATATGGTGGACTCATATATGCGAGCAATGAATTATTTGATTTAACGAAACAAATAGAAAAGTGTGTTTTAAGAACTATCAGTAAAACTCTAACCAATGTTGACACGATAAGTCAAATATCGCAAGAACTAAAAAAAAAAGTTTTAAAAAGAGTAGGGTGCTTTCAACATGAAAAAGAATTAACTATCAAAATTATTGATTTTTATGTAGTGATAAGATCTCATTTTTTGGCTAAATCTGAAAATAAACGCTACGAAGCTGCCAAAATTAAGACCAAAGCAAATAGAAAAAATGCCAAACTACTATCATAAGTACACAACTTGTTATTAAAAAAATATGTTTATCTATAACTATTGTTGAAGATGTATTAGTTTATTTATATAATTTAATAATATATATTCGTAGAATTTCTTTTTGAATCCGTTTGTTGATTCATTTTAACTTACAACTTGTTTATGAAATCCCATAAAACTGGTTATTTTATTTTTGACAAACAAACTTTTAACAATTTAAAGTCATTACGTATTATATTTGGAACTCTTTCAAGTTGACCGCATTAAAATTTCGGACTTTTTCATAAATAATTAAAAAAAAAATATTTTTGGTAAGGGGACATCCATTAATTACGTGAGCTATTTTTCGATCAGTTTAGACTCCTCCCCCCCCTTAGGTGAAATTTAGTGAGATTTGTCTGGACCCCCCCCTCCCCTTACGTGAGATTGACGCTAAAAATATTTTAAATTAAAATTATTTTTATTATTGGGGAGAATAATAAACCATTTAAGTATGCTATAGTTAATTTATTTAAATTAAATAAAATTCAAAGCAAAGAAAACATAAAAACAACACTTTTTTTTTATTTTTACTCAATCCATGGAGACTCATGTACTTTTTTTATACATACATATTATAATTTATATTATAATTATAATGTTAAAGAAATTCACCATTAGCTCTGAGAAGAGCTTGTTTAAATCATCAGCGTAAATGATTTTAATAGACATAAAATTTATTTTAGCGGGCAAAATAAACACTCAAAATAATTTTTTTTTAATGTCTGTAATATTTTATATTTTTTGAAGTTGAGGTGAGATTTTTGATTATCCCCCCCCCCCTGTAGATGAGATTTGGTGAGATTTCATTGGACCCCCC